ACTGTGCAAAAAATCTGTTTGGGGGGGTCATTTTAGCATGTTGCTAATATATCATGCATAATTCAACCTAGATAGTAGATATAGATTTGATTTGATTTTTATGAAGTTAAAATGATAGGATACTTTTATAAAGTGTAATAGGTGTGTAAATGCGGAAAATATACCTCATACATACCACCTTATGATCTATTATCTTAGTCTGGTGCTAGGTGGTAGCTAGGCAACATGACTATGTCATAATATTTGAATTAGATAAGAACTATTAGCTCCTGCTGGTCCAAGAGGAGTTTTCGGGCAAAGAAACACGCATGAACAAAGAACTTGTGTGTTTTAGTCAGATGTTACTTAAATATTTGTTGATATTCTCAAATATCTTCTCTTCTGGACTCAATGCTAAAACTGAGGATTCAGAATATGAGTTCATAATCCGGTGGGTGACAACATGGAGGCTACGTTAACATGCTCTTGTCTTAACCAATGCACTTTGATGCATATGTATGCACATGTACTTGTACACAAGTAGACTGTGCTGTTGTTGCAAGACAGTTTTATTTGGTGCAGAAAGACTAAAGAACATTATTCTTTGCCACCTACAGTACATTGTCACTTCTCATAATAAATCAGCTTAAGCCTACTGTATCTCCAAGCCCTATTGTGCTCATGATGACAAGTTTAGCTGCCCACATTTCTTTTCATGTTGCTTGGTAACCAATTAAAAGTCACAATCCTTCAGTACCAGCCCACCTTGTTATGGCCAGATGCAGGGAAATGAATCTTTTCTTTAATAGCCTGCTGTTTCATTCAGCTGTATTGCGAGGATAAGAAATACTCACTGTGTCTAATCACATCTTCTCCCTCTCATTTCACTCGAGGCATATTCGCAATTGTGTCTATTTTTGACCGCCATTATAGCATGGATTTTTCTCTACTGGGATGCATAGAGGAAAACGTATCTCTACCAGTTAACTGTCATCTACTTTAAAAACAACAAAGGCAACAAAAGAGTCTGAGTTGGTCCTAGCACATGATTAAATCCTACTGAATGCAAGAATGTTGGTCCAGCAGTTGATGGTGCGACTTACAAGGAAGTTGTTTGTGTCCTCCACTGCAGCTTGACCTGGCAAATGATTTGAGGTGTCCCAGATTATCATGTTCCTATCAAAAATAAGGGAAAAAGAAGAAAGAAACCATGGATACAAGGGCAGAAATGATCACGTAAAGTGAAGCCATGACACCTGCAACACAACTTAATAGCCTTGTTCACGTATCAAAGCATTTGTTGGTTAGAAATCTCATTCCTTCACATTCGATTTTCAGTTTTTCAATCTGCGTTGTGGAGCGCGTTTGCTCAGTGGAAAATTTCATTCAGTAGCTGGTTGATGGCTAACAAGGTCAAATGACTCTCCGGATAAGATGGACTGTGTCAGAGGAAACAAATACAGACATATACACACACCACCTGCCAGTCAGTCACTCCATCTCTGAATTGAGTAGCAATAATAGAAGATTGAGGTTTGGAGTGTTTACTGCTGATAGGAATATCATTACAACTGTGGAAATCAAAGAATCGCAGCAAAACCGGTTAGCCAGTTCATATAACAATCAATTGAAACCTACACAGTGTTTTTCCCTCTCTGCTCATTTTTCTCTCTCTTCTCCTTTCACACAATCTTTTCCTCTTGTTGCTATAGTGACGTAAAATGGCTGCATTTTGCAGCGTTGGGCTGGAGCAGGGGAACGCTCCTGCAGCCTGTGAGCTACATTGTTTTACATTTGACTTATCACTTCCTTTCCCATTACCATTACTGTTTTTACAACAATAACTAAATACAAAGATCCCCTTTCTCCATGACTTCGTCTTCTCTCTTCATCTTCTGCCTCGCTGTAGCTCACGACGCCTCTCTCTGTGTTTGCAGTGTGACAATGCCAAGGGGCTGAGGGCCTTCTTTGATGCCATTTGTTACGGGCCCAAACACCTGATGATCTTCGGCGGCGTCTGCCCCTCTGTAACATCCATCATTGCAGAGTCCTTGGAAGGATGGAATCTGGTGCAGGTAGGAGCTGTACTCCATGTCATCATGCACGAGTGTGTATGACTGTGTACAGTATGTAGTCTTAATATCATGTTATTACACGTGAACTCCTGTCTACACACTTTAAAAAAAGAAATCTGGGTATTTCCAGGAAACCTGACTATGGTGTTTAAAAGCTGCTTAGGTTCTAGAAATTCCTATTCTGTAGGTGTTTTGGTGGACAGATAGGTCTTAAGATTTCAAAGGGGTTCCAACTCATTGCTTAATCCTTCATTAACCTTGCCAGGGTGAATGTCTAATTGGCAATGCTGTAATCCTCGAAATCCCCCTCCCATTTTACAATCAGAGGCAGAGTCAAAATGGTTTGAACCAACAGTACCATGACCAAAAATCAGTTGTGAAAAATGTGAGAACCATTTTACTTAACACTTAGGCTTAAGTAGAGGAAACACGTTATAAAATGATTGTCAAATCATGAGACAGACTGATCACATTGCAGTAAAATGTTGCCTTGCACAGGTGAAAAGATATATTTTGGGGTGTTTTATGATTGGTATGAGCTAAAGTGTTTTGGCCAATAAACTTCTTAGGCAATATAATAAAAGTGATCCTGTCATACTGCTTCCTTCCAATTTCTAAATAGCATTTTGTGCCATTAACTGTTGTGAGTTACGTGTTGTGGTTGCTCTGTGTGGATATTAAACGTCACTAATTCTTGTATCGGGAAAACTTTTGACCCCCAGAGTTATTGCTTGTGCCTACATTTGCTCTACCAAAGAGGGGAAACGCATGCTTTCAAAGAATACAATTCATTGTCTGCAAATGCTGCAAAGGTTATCAAGCACAGATAAGAAAGAAGTGGAGTTTGTGCTTGGAAGAGATAGTGTAATTCAAGAGGCTGTGTTTTGAACTGAATGTCACATTACGTGGAATATATTTCCTCCATTTGCGGTTGCTGTGAATGCTTTACACAGCCCGTTTTTTGCTCACTGTCTTGTTCGGGTCACTCATGAGTGAAAAGAGTTGGGAATAAAAGGATGACTAATTGTTTTGGGGGGGTTTTTTACGCTGTGTTTGCTTTCTTTTGGTGGTAATGATCCCAGTTGAGAAAGATGGTTCAGGTCATAGTTGAATGTTAAGTGTTTATCTGTTGGTTTGCATGTATGTCTAATTGCTTATCTATTCACTTGCTTTTTTTTTGACAGTGATACCTTAGAGATGCAATCTTCTGCTCTGCAGAACACTGTGTTGGTACAGTTTGTTCCACAGAGCACTTTACCAAGTAGCCCATTTTCTGCTGTCATTACAAAGAGCAACACCAACAAATTCATGTCAGCCTGATCCCAAATGCACACAGTGACTATGTCTGAATATCACATAGCAAGTGACTGGGAGAGAGTTTTAAATGAATAGCTAAAACCAAAGCAATCAAATAGCTTTTTCTTTTTGGGACAGCAGACATGCAGGTGCAAGGAAACTTTGATTAAATAAATTTTTCAATCAGCATCTGTCCAGCATAATACTAAGACTTAACTTATCTTGTTACAGGTGTCTTTTTAAAAGCACGACTCATAATTATCTGCTGTTTTTTTTTAATTAAAGGATCTAATCTGTGTGCATCTCTTTATAGGCAAGTAGGTGTTTATATATAGAATTGTACATTCTCGTTTGTAGGTGTGGTATCAGAAGTTGAGGTTACTGTTCTCAGATGCGAGCTATCTTTGCAGGCCTAAGCTGCATCCTCATTAGAGTATGAGTCATCAACCAGCCATAGTGTGAGCTGGAAATCTGCTCAATATTTGTCCCTGGACATAGAAAACACACCACATAGGTTTTGTTTGTTTTACAGACCCTAAATGCAGAGTAAGGTGGCAGCTTTCTATTTCGTTAGCTGGAGCGTGCATTGAGGTTAGTTAGACACAGGCCTGTGTGCTCCTAATCAGTGTTGTCTGCACACGGTGTTTGTGTATATGCATGTGTGTGAAACTGAGTGAATGCTTACATTATTATGAGAGACATGCAACTTGTTTGGTGGTATTACTTCAAACTAAAAACAGGGGTTGAAAAAGAGGGATTGAAAGGAAGGGTCTAACAAAGGGAACCCAAAGAGGAATGGGAGAGGGGATGAGAAATGATGAAACGAGAAAGGTTTGAATCCTGCACCTCACAATTTTTAATGTGCCATGTCAATGGGAGTCTGTTTTTAAAGCTGTGAATTCTGTCACCCTGCTTACTTATTACCAAGCCCTGGCACTGCTTCTACAAAACTTGAGCTGGAGAATTTTCCATCGTGATTTTATGGGCCAGGCTTAACAAGCTCATCATTTCCACATCAAAACAGGGAGCTGGCAGATACTATCTACAGTGGCGATAGCTGAGAGAACAACTACTCCTGGAAGAAGCTTAATCATACACCCATAAAAATAGCGTTCAATCAGTGTTGATGCCTAATGAAGTCAGCTTGAAACGGCTCAACAAAAATAAACTCTGACTGCACGTCCTTTCACTGCAGTCTACACGCAAGACTTGGATGTACATACTTGCATTTAATGCAGAGCAGATGTAGATCAGTGTTTATAATTTTTAGCCAGAGATTCAGTAGCCAGTATTTTCTTATTGGTAATCAATAAAATGGTGTCTACAAACATAAGAGACCTCCTGTAAGAGTGTTAGGGATAAGCAGAGTTATGAAACGATGGAGGAAAGAGCAAAGAATATTCAAGAAGCCAATTTGTACAGTAACTTATCTTCTCTGCGCAATTTGACAGTTTATCCATGATAAAGCCAAAACCTCAAGCCATGATCCCTTCAAAAATAGTTTTCTGCATTCTGTGTTACAATTTAATTATCAACTTTCCCCTCAAATCCCGAGAGCTCAGTTCCACTAACTGTTCCTAGTATATCAGTCTGCAGAAATACCACAAAACGAATGAGTGCAGACCAATGCCAAGATAGTTGAAGAACATAAATGTCATTTTTTGTAATTTTGTCCCCTCTCAAATCTGTTCATTTTTAAAAATACTTAACTAAAATCAGACAATGGGACAACACTATTAGTGGCTGTGGGTGCTGTGTGGTTATCACCTGGTCTCTGCTTTGCAGTTGGACAGACTTTAAATAAAAGGTAGACGTAGCCACCATAATTTCACCAATTTGTTTGAAGCCTCAAACTGAATGAGATGCAATGACTGAGAAACGTATGCACTCTCATATAAGTAGCCACTTATAATTGACAAGGTAGCCACACCGTAAAGAACACCCTGCTTCGGGGTTATTTGACTCTAAATGAGGCCATGGAAAAAAAAGCAATTGAGATTATGAACTCAATAAGAAAATGTTTACTGATGTCATAAATCCAGTGAGAAACTGGGTCATTTTTCCAATATCTAATTTTTTGCTCTCAGAGGAGTCGACCCTTGCTGCCTTTTAAAAGGCCCAGAGTGAGACTATGTCCACCTTTTATAAAAGCCTGGTGGTCAGCGGTCCCCTTTAAAATTTTACGAGTCTTTTGCTGGAGGTAAATGAAAAAAGAAAAAATCCAGCATGTATCACATCTAGATGGTGACCAGTCTGCTAGTAGCATATTGTTACGCTTTTCCTGTACAGTACTAGAGGACTGATGCGTTCAGCGGACGTTTGGATTCTGACTCATGGCTCTTGTCGGAGATGCCTGTTCGCCGACCTCCTTCCCCAAGCGGCTTTGCTAGGCTCTTTATTTACAGTCACATTTTGTAATGCGTACTGTACATGTGCTAAAATGACTGCCCAAGGAAATTAAAATGGTGGATAAGAATACTACCCGGGCCAGTGGACAGATGGCGTGGAATAGATTGAGGGAATGATGGAGGAACAGACAGGCAGGGGCAGACATAGACTTTAATAGGCTAAAATTGAAATTCAAAGAAGCGGGGCAAGACGCAGCTGCGTTTGTGAGCCGCTATCAGCCACAAATGCAGCTGATTGCTGTGTTTTTATATCTGTGAGACAATGGATGTTGAAGCCATCTTCTTGGCAACCATCTTGGTGAGTGATTAACCTTGTGTTCTCCTCACCATGAAATTATATAATGCCAGAAAGCATTTGGCAAGGTTTTTAAATAGTTGCTGGCACAGATATCTGCAGCATGCTCTTCACGCTCTCTCTCTCCTTTTCCCCCCCATGGTTTTAAGTTCGGAGGTCTTTTTTTCTTCTTCGCAGCAGCAGTTGCGCCTATTTTCTGTAAATGGTTCACTGCGTGCCAGGAAGTAGCCATGGCCCATCCTGGCTCCAGTTGCTTGCCCCTGCTCACTCACCAATTAGGCCTATCAGCGGTCGCACTGTTCATTTTTCAGCCACGTCAAGTGTGTAATGAAAAATTATGCTTCCTGATCATTTTGCCTCTTGTAATTTGGTGGAGAAAGAAAAGACAAAGGAGCCCCGTCCTTCATAACTGATAAATCTGATACATGTTTTAGAGCACAGCTTTGGTGACATGTTTTATGTGTTAATTGCAAAGCAAACTAGGTTAAACATGAACAGAAATCCTACCTCACCATTAGCTCTGTCACTGTTTTTAGATGAGCTATTCCCCAGTGTCCCTCGCCGTGATGTAAAGCGCTAAACCTGTGATTTATTTATCTTCCGGGGACACTGAATAATGAAGTCAATATTTTGGAGGAGGAAAAAGTGGATGCGCTTTCTGAAAGTATTTTGGTCAAGACCTGGACATAGAGCTAATATTTACCCGCATATGAAGCTCATTTTTCTTCGGCATCTTCCATATTGATTGGCAACGCTTCATTAAACCAGGCAATTTAGGGACACGGAAGTTGCATCCCTCCTTTATGAGTGCAGCATTGTTGTCTTTTAAGGCTGCACTATCTCTTTGGTGTCTTTTCCCCCCCCAGTTTTATTTTGTTCACTCTCCTTGAGTGCTACACTGGGTGTTTCAATAAAACATGCGATGCCTAGCACTGCAGTATTCTGCCTTACTTACGTCAAATCCTCCTGTGTACCGTATCAATATTTCATCACTTCCAGAG